CCGGCTGGCCTCCTTCCCCGGGGCCTCCGTGCCTCCTCCTCCATCCTGCTTCTGTGCTTCCGGCCAGCAGCCCCAACTCCCGCCTCCCCTCACAGGGCGGGAGGTGCTCAAGAGACAGTGGGGGTCCCCAGACCTGAAACCCAAGTGGCCAAGCCCAGACTCTTGGGAAGGGGGGCGGGGTGGGGAGGGGTTGGGGGGGGAGGGTGCGGATTAATGTAAGGCCATGGGGTGAAGTCCAGCCAGGGGAGGCCAGGCTGGCTCCGGCTCTTATCTCGGACTCTCCCCTCGGCCTCTCCCCTCGGCCTCCTGCGCAGGACGGGCCTCCTTGGGGGTCCTCCGGGGTGGGGGAGGGTGGGTGCAAACCCACCAGCAGGGACGGGTCTGGGTCCCACAGCTCCAAGCTGTCTGCAGTGCCGGGGTTCAGAGGCCACACTGCGGGGTAGACAAGGTGGGGCAGGGGCATGGGGATCGGAGGGGCGGCTGCCTTTGCAGAGCAAGCTCGGTTTTTAGTGTGAAGGGGCACAGGGGTCCCCTGTGGTGAGATCCCAGTGGCGCCCTTTTGTGTCCCCCGGCCCCAGAAAATGGTGTGCGTCTCCTTCCCCACCCCCCACCCCCCACCAGGCAATGGTGAGCAACCCCCACTCCCTGGGGCTGCAGGTGGCCATCTACGAGGACGGCTACACCTATGACGGAAACACCAAGCACAGACTGGTGAGCAGCGCCCCTGCCCCAGGCCCAGGTCAGTGCAGGGAAGGGCACAGCCTTGACTGGGCCCAGCTGGGTCCGGCCGCCTGAAGGCTTCCTCGGCCTGAACTTCCTTCCTCGCCCCCCCACAGCTGGATAAGGCGCTAAAGCATCTGGAGGGGACACGGCCCTGCTGCTCCCCGCCCCTCCCCTGCTCCCTGCAGGCAGGAAGCACAGGGGACAAGCAGGAGGGCGTGACAGAGAGCCTAACACAGCCCCAGGGAAATCTGGGTAGCTGGGTAAACTGAGGCACGAGGATGGAGGTGAAATGGGGGGCGGGGGGGGGCAGGAGGGTCCTGGCCAAACAGGAGGCCAGGGTGCTCCACAGGGCCGAGCCAGGCCTCACGGTCACACCGTGGAGTTTGCACTTGACCCCGGAAGCCTAGGGTAGGGTTGGGCAGTTTCCACAAAACAGGAGCCTGACAAGGCATCAGTCAGCCACAGGGGGATTTTTGGACCGGTCCCCGTCACCTCCTAAAGAAGAGGGGAAACAAAGTCACCCCTCACTCCGGGTCCCTCAGACAAAGGCAGCCAGGAAACGAAGGAGCTTGGGGTTGGTCATTTCTATGAACTTCTAGAAGCCTCTCACCGGTGGTACGATTAGAATCAAGAGGCAGCTGGAAAGAGCCCCGATCCTCAGCCACCCCGGGCTGCCCCACCGTTGTGTTTGTTCTCGGTTCCACAGAACATCTCCCTGAGGCAGCAGCACCACTGGGGCAGGGCCAACCCCAACTTCACCTCCAGGTACGTGGTCGCCTAGATGGGAGTGGGCGGCCCCCGTGTATGGGGTTCCCTTGACAGATCTGGGAACGCGGGGCCGAGATCCAGACTTGAACGTAGAATTACCATATGACCTGGCAATCCCGCTTCTGGGTCTACACCCGGAAGAATGGGAAGCAGGACTGGAACAGATATGTGCACACCTGTGTTTACAGCAGCCTGATTCACAGTCACCAAAATGTGGAAACAGCCCCGTATCCGCAGACGGCCCAGTGGGTGGACACAGTGTGGCCCATCCACACGCTGGGATATCACCCAGCCTCAGGAAGGAGGGACATCCTGCCGCCTGCCACCACATGGATGGACCCTGAGGACACTGTGTGCGGTGACAGAAGCCAGACACAGAAGGACACGTCCTGCGTGACCCCACGCACAGGGGGTCCCTAGAATATGTATTTCAACAAGTCTTCATTCTACGTGTGGAATTTTGTATCACTGTATCACATATAATTGGAATTTGCTAAGACATCGGAACCAAAGTATTCTAGGGGCGCCCGGGGGGGGGGCTCAGTCGGTTGAGCGTCCCACTTCGGCTCCGGTCACGATCTCGCGGTTCGTGAGTTCGAGCCCCGTGTCAGGCTCTGTGCTGACAGCTCGGAGCCTGGAGCCTGCTTTGGATTCTGTGTCTCCCTCTCTCTCTTTGCCCCTCCCCTGTTCACACTCTGTCTCTCTCTCTGTCAAAAACAAATAAACATTAAAAAAATATTTAACTCGGGGCGCCTGGGTGGCTCAGTCGGTTAAGCGTCCGACTTCAGCTCAGGTCACGATCTCACGGTCTGTGAGTTCGAGCCCCGCGTCGGGCTCTGGGCTGATGGCTCAGAGCCTGGAGCCTGCTTCCGATTCTGTGTCTCCCTCTCTCTCTGCCCCTCCCCCGTTCATGCTCTGTCTCTCTCTGTCTCAAAAATAAATAAACATTTAAAAAAATATATTTAACTCAATTTTTTATGTACTTGGCAATTAAAAAAATCAACCAGATCTCCCAGTAGAGATTTTCAGACCACATGCTCAGACCATAATCCAACAAAACTAGAACTGAATGGCCAGAAAAACAAAACCAATGACAAAAAGCCCCCTTTCTTGGAAAGTAAGAGACGCTTTTATAAATAACCCTTGAATCCTAGAATCCGTGCAACACGGCTGAAACATACTCAAAGGAAAATCTGTACCCTGAGCACTTTTATTATGAGGGGGAAGAACGGACTAAAGACGCATGAAGTAAACATTGAACTTAGCCAGGGGAACCACAAAAAGAAGGGAGTTAATGATGATACAGTCTGAAATGTATTATTTTTTTTTTTAATTTTTTTTTTCAACGTTTATTTATTTTTGGGACAGAGAGAGACAGAGCATGAATGGGGGAGGGGCAGAGAGAGAGGGAGACACAGAATCGGAAGCAGGCTCCAGGCTCTGAGCCATCAGCCCAGAGCCCGACGCGGGGCTCGAACTCACGGACCGCGAGATCACGAGATCCCGCGAGATCGCGAGATCGTGACCTGGCTGAAGTCGGGCGCTTAACCGACTGCGCCACCCAGGCGCCCCAGTCTGAAATGTATTAAACAGAGGGCAAAAAGACAGGATAAAGTCAAAGTGACACATAAAGCTGGCTCTTCAGAAGCCCAGTACACAAGGCGGCCCCGCAATCCTGACGAAGGAGGAGAGAATTGAAAAAACAGTAGAACGGAAAAGGACAAGTGTGGAGACTTATCAAAGAATAAGGGGAGGGGCTTCACCCAACTCAAAAGCTCCCACACAGTGAAGGAAGCCACCCACAAAATGAAAAGGCGGCCCACTGACTGGGAGAAGACGCCGACGTCCAAAACACGTCAGGAACACGCGCAACTCAAGAACAACAACAGCAACGCGATGAAAAAATGGGCAGAAGATCTGAAGAGACGCTTTTCCAGAGAAGACATCCAGATGGCCAACAGACACGTGAAAAGATGCCCCACGTCACTCAGCCTCAGGGAAACACAGATCAAAAGCACACCGAGACACCACCTCACACCCGTCACGATGGCTACAATCAACAACACAAGAAACAAGGGTTGGCGAGGATGCGGAGAAAGGGGCGCCCTGCACTGTTGGTGGGAATGCAAACTGGTGCAGCCACTCTGGAGAACAGGACGGAGGCTCTTCAGAAAATGAAACGGAGACCCACCACACAACCCAATTCCAGGTCTGACTATTTGAAGAAGACCGAAATGCTAATTTGAAACAATACAAGCGCCCCTTTGTTTGTTGCAGCATCATTTACAAAAGCCAAATTATGGAAGCCATCTAATCTAAGCGATCCATCTAGAGGTGAATGGATAAAGAAGACGTGGTGTATGTATACAATGAAATACGCCCCCAGTTATAGAATAAAGAAGTCATGGGGATGTATTGAAGTGCCTGGGTAACACGGTCAGGAATGTTGTATTAACTTTGTATGGTGACAGACGGTAACTAGCCTATTAATGGCGATCCTTTTGCAATGTATGCAGACATTAAATAACTATGTTGTACGCCTGGAACTAAGATGATATTGCATTTCTTTAAAAAAATGTTTTTAATGCTTTTAATTTTTGAAAGAGAGAGAGAGAGAGAGAGAGAGAGAGAGAGAGAGAGAGAGATGAGTGGGGGAGGGGCAGAGAGAGGAGAGGGAGACACAGAATCCGAAGCAGGCTCCGGGCTCTGACCTGTCAGCACGGAGCTGGGCGCGGGGCTCGAACTCGTGAACCGCGAGATCACGACCTGAGCCGAAGTCGGACGTGCAACAGACTGAGCCACCCAGGAGCCCCAATATGATATTGTATTGCAATTATACTTCAATGAAAAACGGAACAAGAAAACATTATACGTAGCTAGGTGATAATAATGTTATGATACGTAGCTAGGTAATAATAATGGATGTCAGATGTGGTTTTCAAGAAGTTATTAGACGTAAATGAATAAAACTGACTCAAGAAGAAGTAGAAACTCAAGGGAGGGTGGGGCCACCACGTGTGAGCAGAGGTTCTCTCAGTCAGTATTCTGGAACAAATGGATGAATGGATGGACAAGCGGAAGCCTGGATGGATCATGAATGGATGGATGGATGGATGGATGGATAAGTAAATCGGTGGGTTGGTGATTGTTTTTAACCCTGATACTATTTGTGACACTGATGTGTGATAATACACACTCCCATTGCCTCGCAGCATAAAGAAACCCACAGTATCTACCATCACTCTGGACGTAGCCAACAAGGAAATTTCATGTGTGGACCTGAAGCCACTGGTATGTCCCAAATTTTCACTGTCCCATATTCTTTGTTGTTAGCGTTAAGAATAATGGTGGTGGGTCTCCCCTGGATTTTCCCTGAGGGGCTGGCCGAGCCTATGTTCAGGATTTGAAAATGGAGGTGATCTGGTCCCAGTTGCGAGGGTCACTCCCTGCCCCCCGCCTCCCCCTCAGCCCCGCAACAGCATCCCCCAGGTCTGCCCCTCAAGACTCACCATCCTAGGAGCAGGTGTCTCGTCTCATTCCTCGGTCATCCCCAGAACACCTCTGGCCAACTCTGGTGACAGCACTCCTTGGTGCTCCCAAGAGAACGGAAAACAGCACACATCCACACGGAAACCTGTACACATATATTCACAGTGGCCTTATTTGTAATAGTCAAAAGGTGTTAGCTACCCAAATGTCCACTGATGGGTGAACCAATAAACACAGGGCGGTCCGTGCTGACACCCACCACAACATGGATGGATCTTGAAGACGTTACGCTCAGTGAAATAAGTCAATCCCAGAAGTCCAAATACTGTCTGATTCCACTTCTCTGAGGTCCCCAGAGCAGTCCTGTCCACAGAGACAGATGGTGGGCACCAGGGGTGGGGCAGGGGGTGGGGTGTCAGGACTCATGGGGACAGTCTCAGTTTGGGGAGATGAGAAGGTTCTGGAAACAGTTGGTGGGGGTGGGTGTACAGCCGTGTGAGTGTGCCTGATGGCCTTGAGCTTTGCGCTTAAAATGGTTAAGATGGGACATTTCATGTTCTGTGTATTTTACCACATTTTTAAAGTTTATTTATTGATTGATTTACTTATTTATTTACTTAAAGTTTATTTATTTATTTGGAAAGAAAGAGAAAGAGAGAGAGCAGGGGAGGGGCAGAGAGAGAGAGAGAGAGAGAGAGAGAGAGAGAGAATCCCAAGACAGCAAGGCTCTGTGCTGTCAGCACAGATGTGGGGCTCGATCTCACGAACCATGAGATTATGACGTGAACCGGAAAGGAGTTAGACGCTTAACCAGCTGAGCCACCCAGGCACCCCTTTACCACGATTTTTGTAAAATTGATAGGAATATTGCATTCTGTCCCACGGTAAATCCATGTTTGTCTTCTGTATGCCAAGTATTGTCCCACACTTATAAACTGGTCTCTGGTTGGAACTAAGATATAAGTTAGTGACAGGGGACTTAACTGCACCCCCATAGCTCTGGCAAGCCCTTAGGGCTTGAGCTCCGCGGGGCCAGGCCCAGTTACAGTGAGTCCCGGGAGACTGGGTCACCGTGTCAGGATCTGGGCACACCGTTTCCTGTCTCTCCTGGGTGTGAGTGTCCCCACGTGGGTTCTTAACACAGCCGGGCCGTCAGCGGCCCTCACCGACCCCGGTCAGCATCGCTGCCTCTCTCCTCCGCAGACGGCACTCATTTCAGTGGGTTGTGACCAGGAGAAAAAGATCGTCATTCAGAAGTAAGTGTGTCGATATCGGGGCGGGGACTGGGACGTGACAAGCTTGGTCACAGTTGTTTCACAACTGTTGAAATCGGGTGACATTTTCCTGTGCGTTTTTATGTATATTTAACATTCTCATAAGAAATAGTAAAATAATGGGGCACCTGGGTGGCTCAGATGTCTAAGCGTCTGACTTCAGCTCAGGTCATGATCTCGCGGTTCGTGGGTTCGAGCCCTGCGTCAGGCCCTGTGCTGACAGCTCAGAGCCTGGAGCCTGCAGCCTGGATTCCGTGTCTCCCTCTCTCTCTGCCCCTCCCCTGCTCACGCTCTGTTTCTATCTCTCAAAAATGAATAAATGTTAGGGGGAAAAAAAAGAAATAGTTAAATAATGAATACTGATAGGCTGAGTTTGGTTTCTGGCACAGTGTTCTCCCCTCCTTTACCAGCTGGGTGATATTTACACTTTGCTCTCTCTCCTAATCATGTGTTTGTTCGCTTTCTTTTCTTTTCTTTTCTTTTCTTTTCTTTCTTTCTTTCTTTCTTTCTTTCTTTCTTTCTCTCTCTCTCTCTCTTTCTTTCTTTCTTGTCGTCTTTTGCGAGTCCCTGAATTCCCCATTTTGATTACAATTGCTTACAGTTTTGGTTTTAATTGGTTCCTGATATTTTGGGGGAACTTTGCTCCAGTTTCCATAGTTACCCCCAGGGAAGGCAGCCCCGAGAATCCAAGGCACAAAAAAAAGGAAGAAACCAGAAGATCAGCCAAATTGCCATACTCTTCCCCTGCAGGCAGTGGCGTGCTGGTAAATGGGTGACAACCAGTTCTGGGTGGAGGGGGAGGCCCCGAATTGCAGCCCTTGCCAGTTCCTGTGGTGTGAATACTCCGTGTGGATTTCAAGCGCCATCGTGAATGATCCACCGGCCGACAAAATTCCAGCAGATTTAATGCTTGGCTCTCAGGAGCTAGTCGGGGCCAGCTTCAATGTCCCCTGCTCAAGGGCACCAATAAACACAGGTGATGATTTTACCACATTTCCCCCAAATGGAAACATTTTGTTGAATCAACAAATGATATATTTATACACAAGGACATGATGTGCAGGGAACATTTTTTAAACAATATACAAATAGCTTTTGCCATAAAGAGTGTGGGGAGGATATTTGCACATGCATAACCAGCAATGGACTTGTAAACGGACTTTATTTGGGTGGGGGTGCCTAGGTGGCTCAGTCGGTTAAGCATCTGACTCTTGATTTTGGGTCAAGTCACGATCTCACGGTTGGTGAGTTTGAGCCCCACGTTAGGCCGTGCACTGACCGTGCAGAGCCTGCTTGAGATTCTCTCTCTCCTCTCCCTCTCTGCCCCTCTCCCACTCGCACTCTCTCTCTAAAGAAATAAACCTTTAAAAATATCTCAGAAAATAAAAAACTAAAAAAATAGATTTTATTTTTTAAGTGATCTCTACGTCCACTGTGGGGCTCAAACCCATGACCCCAAGATCAAGCGTCACACGTGCTACTGAGACTTTATGAAGAATTCCTACCAATTAATAATTTAAAAAAACAAACAAACTAATTTTTTAAAAATGGGCAAAAGTCTTGAACAGGCACTTCCAAGAAAGAAACAAGAAAGGAATCCAAACGGCTGGTAAGCATAGGAAAAGGGGCCGAAAATGCGGTCAGCCTCACTTCATAGGGAAAAGAAAATGAAAACTTTTATTAGAGACCATCACTCTCATCCACCAGCGTGGTGAAATTTACAAAGCCCGGCCAGGAGCAAGTACTGGTAAGGACCGGGAGCCCCTGGCAGCCTCCGGAACGCACAGACTGTGCCGCGGGTATGTACGTTTTTCAGCTGCTTTAGAAAACACATCTGTTGACCCAGCAATTCCAATCTGGCACGTTTACATTGGCAAGGGTTCCAGAATGTTCTCAGCGGCATTATTCCTAATAGCTCCAAGCTGGAAGCAGGCCAGCTCGAATCCCATTGACAGGAAATAAACAGGTGCAGTGGCTCGATGCAATGGACTATCATAGCCGTGTGCCAGGGATGTGGAACAGAAGATTCGAAACGACACACACAGCATGATTTCTAGTCCTTAAAATCTGAAACCGGCCCAAAATAAACCATATTGCATAAAGAGGCAGGCACAGATGTAACACTACAAAGAAAACCCAGGAAATGATGGACTCAAGAGCCAGGGCACCCAGCGCCTAGGTCCTGGCCTCTGATGTCGGTCTCCCACACGAGTTCTGGCTCCTTGGAGAGATTCTGGGCCTGGTAGGGAGGATGGAAGTAAGAAAGTTCTCCAAAATCAAACCAGCGGGGGTATACGCGTCCAAGGGAAGAATTCACAATCCTTTGGTGCTCTGTGGGTTCTGGAAGCTTCTCACCGCTTTTTCTCGCTTGCAGCAAAATCTCAGCCTGTTCCAACGGCATCCTGGACCCCGTGGGCCTTCAGGACAACTACAGCTACATCATCGAGAAGTGAGCCTAAGGTTCCCGTTGGTGAAACCTTTGATTGTCCCAGCCCCAAAGACAACTCAGAAATCGTTTTTAAACTGATTTCCCGACAGAAGGGAATCCGGGGTGGGGAGAGGACAGGTAGGGGAGGTGCCGGGCCTGTGGGAGGGCCACTGTGATGTGGCTCAGGTCTGCCCACCTACCAGGCCACCTTTCTGCCATCTTGCCAGCCTGCCACCAGCTCATGGGGCCCGGGCACCTGTTCCTCTGAGCTGGCAGTTAGCCCAACACTGTTCACCAAGGCAGGAGGGGGTGAGGGCCAGGGTGACCTCTGTGCAGTGCAGCTGGTCCCCAGGGCCACCAAGTGGGCATGGGGTGGGATGGGTGGGACTCGACCCTTCTTGGAACCCGGGGAACAGAGAACTCCGACCCCCAGTATGAAGACACGCGTGTGTTTTATACACCACGGCCCCCTGGATATAAGCCAGGAGTCAGTCACCTTCCGGTCCACACCCACAGCCAAGGCCCAACCCGGCCAGTGAACCTGCACTCAGACCTGGGGGGGCACGGACAGGTGCGTGACACGGACCTCCAGGGAGAGAGAAAAGTGACGGGACGCACTCGGAGATACAAAGAGCCTAAGAGAGAGACAGAGACAGGAGGAGAGACAGAGAGAGGGCCAGAGATAGGAGAGGCACGGGGATTTATTTTAAGGACTCGGTTCCCACGACTGCACAGGTCTGGCACGCCCACAGTCTGATGGGGGAGGATGGCGGCGCAGGGCCATCCACTGCCCCCTCCCTGTGTCTGCCTAGGGAAGCGTATGACCCCAACTTCCGGGGACAGATGTCCCGCGAGGACCTGGTGGTGAACTACCGGTACGAGAAGCTGGGCTGCCCCCGCCTCGTCTACTACAACACCCCCTGGAGGCCGGTGGTGGAACTGTAAGACCCCGCAGCCCGGCCCCTCAGATAACGCTCCCCCCTCCGCACCCCTCTCACCGCCGCCCTCCCCACCCCTCTCTCCACACCTTCCCCCGCCCTTGTCTTGTCCCCTCCCTGCAATCTCTCAGCTCCCGCCCCTATAACGAAATTTACCGCCGACTGGGGGCTCAAACAGCAGACAGTGATTCTCTCAGGGTTCCGGAGGCCAGAAGGCCAAGGTCAGAGCGTGGACAGGGCGGGGGTCCCCCTCCTGGGGAGGCTCCCTCCTTGGCTCACAGCCGGCCACCTTCTCTCTGCGTCTTCCCGCGCGGGACACTGCGTCTCCTCCCCTTCCTGTGGGATCAGGGCCCTTCCTGAGGACCTCATTCCACCTTAATTCCCGGTGTAGAGGCCCCACCTCCAAATACAGTCCCCGGGGGTGGGGGGCGCTCTGGGGGACATGGTTGAGTCCGAGCATTCATTTGCCCCCTCTGTGGATTCTGCCGTCTTCCTCCATCACGCCCCCTGCACACCCCACCCTGCGTGATGGTTACACTTTGGTGGGTACTCATGAGCCGGGGGGAGGGGTGTGTGTGTGGAGGGGGGGTACGTGGGGCCAGTGCGCCTGAGGAAGCAGCTTTTCCATTTTACTGAATGCCAATCGATTTAAGTAAGCACTTGGAGGCCGGGGGGCTCAACTCAGTGCCCTGCAGACCATCTGACTAAAGAGTAGTTGATTGAAGGCAGCAGGCACCGACTCACACCTGCAAACAGGCGGGTTCGTGGCCTTGATCCCGCGCCCGGGTGAGGCTGTGGGCCGCGCACACGGGACGGGGCCCGGCCCGACGGCCGAGCCCCACACTCAGAGCTGCCACGCGGCGGGGACGCAAACCCACACGGGGTATGAAGATCAAGGGAGGCGTCCGGGCAGAGGAGGGGTGTAAGCTCCCGCCTGGCAGGAGAGCACAGGACGTGTGCCAAAAAATAATGCTTTAGAACAACCCTCATTAGCGGCCCTAATATACACCTTTTGAATGTTGGCAGATGTCGTTAGAAAAATGTCAGAGGACAGCTGTGAAGGGTTTTCTTTGTTGGTTCACTTGCTTACTCATTCATTCATGTATTTAAAAAAAATTTTTTAATATTATTGAGGGAGAGAAGAGAGAGAGCACATGCGGGAGCAAGGAAGGGGCAGAGGGAGCGACAGACAGGATCCGATATGGGCTGTATGTTGACAGCATAGAGCCCGATGTGGGCCTCGAACCCACGAACCGCAAGATCATGGCCTGAGCCAAGGCCGGACGCTTCAGCGACTGAGCCCCCCAGTCGCCCCTCATCTACTTCTTTACCAGTGCCATTTTTTGCCTGTAGAACATCCCATCAATTTCTTCCAGTCTCTGCTTCTCAGAGAGGCCTCTGGTGGCCACCCCACAGGACACCGTGCCCGCGCCCCGCCCCCCCCCACCTCCTGGCCCTGCCCCGTCCCGCCTGCTGCTGGTCCCCTGCCAAGTGGCCCCCGGGTGAGGCCAGGGGACCTCGCTTGTCGCCCCCACCGTCCCCAGAACTGTCTCGTGACATCTCGGGGCTCCTGCACCCCCCTGCAGCCAAGCCCTGCGCGTGTGTCCTAGGTGGCGGGAAGGAAAGTTCCAGGAGGTGACGAAGGCAGAGTTCGTCCTGCTGGAGGTGAACGGGCTGTTCACGTACACGTACTCCCTGACCGCCCAGATGGCGCTGTGCAGATCCCAGCCGCAGAACTGGACCACCATCCTGGAGAGCGCAGGCGACAAAAGGCCCTTCGCCTGGGACCGAGAGGTAGGGTTTACTCTTCTTCCAAAAGGGGTCCGAACAACCCATTGTCGGTCACCTGCAGGTGGTGATGACTGGTCACGTGGTGGGGGAGGTTCCGCGGGGGGGGGGGGGGGGGGGGGGGGGAAGTGTCAGCCCACAGGGGGGCTGCCATCACGGAATATTTACTGGATGGCTTATAACAACAGACATTTGTTTTTCACTGGTCTGGAGGCCGGGAGTCCAAGTTCAAGGCGCCTGCGGGCTCTGTGTCTGGTGAGGGCCTCTTCCTGGTTCATTGATCACTGTCCTCTCCCCGTGTGCTCACAGGGCACAGGGGCAGGGAGCCCTCTGGTGTCTCTCTCATCAGGGCGCTCATCCATTCATGGGGGCCACACCCTCTGACCTGATCCGACCCCGAGGCCTCACCTCCCCAAACCACCACCTTGGGGGGCAGATTTCAACACAGGGATTTGGGGGGGGGGGGACACAGACCTTCCACAGCAAGGTGGCTGGGGGTGGGGATGCCCGCTAGGACATCTGGGGACTATGAAGTGAGCAAGCTCTCTCAAGGGAGTTGGCCAAAGGCACCGAGGCATGCTCATAATATGCAAGCTTCCAGAACCATCCAAATGCCTATCACCACTGGGACCGATTAAATTCACAGTCGTTCCTGCCGCGGGAGCGTTTCTGTCGTGCACATGGGGTCTCGCACAATGGAGAAATAGGGCGTGATGCCAGTGTAAGGAAGGGACCCCGCGGGCCCTCTTGTGAGTCTTCTGATTTCACACGAACCGCTTCTAACCGCTCAGCCTCCAGATGCGAGGGCGCGACCGCAGCGCAGCAACGCCGCCAGCAGGTGGCGCTCGCTCCCCACACCTGATGCCCGTTCCCGCGTGTAGACACTGGACTTCTCCGCTTTCTTTACCATTTATTTTTTTGAGACAGAGCACGAGTAGGGGCGTGGCAGAGAGAGAGAGGGAGACACAGAATCCAAAGCAGGTTCCGGGCTCTGAGCTGCCAGCACAGAGCCGGAAGCGGGGCTCAAACCCATGAACCGAGAGGTCATGACCTGAGCCGAACTCGGCCGCTTAACCGACTGAGCCACCCGGCCACCCCTGGGCTCCCTTTTTTTTTAACGCTTCCTTTCTTAGCTGGGCACCTTCAAAGTGTTTTCACACTCCTTGTGTTGAGAGGGTTGGATCATTCATTTTGTTGGGAACAATGATTCTACTTGGGTTTTTTTGGTTTTTGTTTTTTTTCAATCCAAGGTGAACTTCACCTAAACTATAGGAACCGTTTTAAAATGCACAGCTCAGGGGCGCCTGGGTGGCTTGGTCGGTTGAGCGTCCGACTTCAGCTCAGGTCATGATCTCACAGACCGTGAGTTCGAGCCCCGCGTCGGGCTCTGGGCTGACGGCTCAGAGCCTGGAGCCTGCTTCCAATTCTGGGTCTCCCTCTCTGTCTGCCCCTCCCCCGTTCATGCTCTGTCTCTCTCTGTCTCAAAAATAAACGTAAAACAAATAATAATAAATTAAAAAAAAATAAAATGCACAGCTCAGGCATTCTGTGGGTTCACACTGCCATGCAAACACCACCTCTCTGATCATTTTCTTTAAAGGAGAAAGCCACATACATATAATTTGTTTATTATTTTCCGACTGTGCCCGCATATAGCGTTGCATTCTTTTGATTAGTGCTGTCATTCAATGTAGCATGCATTTACCAGTTTGTCCCGTTACTTTTTTTTTTTTTAATATGGTCTTTATATGGCCCAGCTTTTTCAATTGTTTTTACTCCTGAAGGATTTAAAAAAAAAAATTTTTAACGTTTATTTATTTTTAAAAGACTGAGAACGAGCAGGGGAGGAACAGAGAGAGAGGGAGACACAGAATCCGAAGCAGGCTCCAGGCCCTGAGCTGTCAGCACAGAGCCTGACGCGGGGCTCGAACCCACGAACCATGAGATCACGACCTGAGCTGAAGTCAGTTGCTTAACCAACTTAGCCACCCAGGTGCCCCTGTGTTTTTGTTTTTAATTCTGAGAACTTCCAAACCTCCAGAAAAGCCGAAAGAGCAGTGTGAGGGACTGCTAGCCATTATGGAGTGCTGCAGAAGAAACCACCCCAAACCCAGCAGGGTCGTCCTCCCAGTCCTGCACCTCAGACCTGTGGCGTCAGCCAGGACCGCCCCTGCAGGGGCCATTCAGCTGGGGGGTGGGGTGTCCAAGAAGGCCCCTCTTCCGTGTGGGGCTTCTGTTAGCCAGCCACTGGGTTGTCCACGTGCTGTCCTCCCCAGCAGGGTAGCCTGGGCTCCCTTACAGCATGACCTCACGGTTCCAGATCGGAAGCTTCCAGACCCCTGAAGTCCCAGGCCCAGCCCTTTCCCCCAGAACCCCCCCCCCCCCGCCCCCGGGCCTGTTCTACTGGTCAGAAGCAGTTTCCAGGGCCCACCCAGACCCCACCTCTTGATGGGAAGAGCTGTGTGCACGAAGGGGAGGAGGCATAGGGGGGCTTCTTCCTTTTAAAGTCACATGACCACCCTCCACAGGACGGGTGCTCCAGGGTTTTTCTGCTGCCCAACAGCCGGGCGCGGGATGTTTCCGGTCTCTCACTTCTACCCACCAGCCTGAGTCCCTTGGTCCTGCAGAACTGTTTTGAGGCCAGGGAAGTGCCTACTGGCTTATAGGCGGATGCCACTAAGGCCCCCTCCGTGGGTGGTGTCACGGTGCCTCTCACCACAGTGCACGGACACCTGTCTCTCCACAGCGCACCAGCTAGGTGTACTATCTCGGGAGGAACTTGTCTATTTCCGCATGCACTTCTTCCACGGTGGACCAGGCTGTGTCTTTTCCTGTTTGAGGGCCATTTTCACTTCTCTGCACTGTGGATTGTGTTCAGTCTGTGTCCATTTTTTCTGCTGGGATTTCAGACTCTCCTCACTTTTCAAGAGCTCTTTATAGATCTGTGAAGTTAACCCTTTACTGCAATATGAGTTGCAAATATCTCCCTCAGTTTATCTTTTATGGTTTTCGCTTTTGCCATGCAAAATGAGTCTTTCTTTTTTTTGAGAGAGAGAGAGAGAGAGAGAGAGAGAGAGAGAGAGAGAGAGAATCCCAAGCAGGCTCCATGCTATCAGTGCGGATCCTGACTCGGGGCCCGATCCCACAACCCTGGGGTCGTGACCCGAGCAGAAATCAAGAGTCAGATGCTCAACCAACTGAGCCCCCCCAGGCGCCCCAGTCCTTTATTTTTCATCTTGCTGGGCTATTACTTTGACTTTCTTGCTTTAAAATTTTCTTTCTCTTCTGTTGTCTACAAGCCCAGCTCCCTCCCTTCTGGGTCCACCATCAAATAGTGCAGAAGAGAGAGGTCTTCAGCTCAGGCAGGCAGCCTGATGTACCTGTTGAGTTTTCAGGGAGGTTCCCCCTTTATATGAAATCCTGGGATCTGAAGACAGGGGAGAAAAGCTCCTGCCCCCACCCAACCACATCTTGGTGCCACGACCATGCTCGGTGGCCATGCCAACAAGAAGTCCCAGGAAGGTGGCTGGGTCTCCTCTGTATCTTCAGATTTCCCAGGTATCTTAGCTGGCCGGGGCTGCTGTAGCAAAAACACCACGAACCGGAGATTTATGCTTCCCCAGCTCTGGAGGAACTTTCCCAGGCGTCTGGGACCAACGTGCTGGCAAGGCTGTTTCCTTCTGAGCGCGAGACTCTGTTCCAGGCTTGGCTGCTCATGGTTTGCTGGCCCCCTTTGGCGTTCCTTGGCCTGTAGACACACACCCCAGTTTCTGCCTCAGTCTTCACACTGATGTTCTCCCTGTGCATGCCTGTGTCCAGACGTCCCCTGTTTATAAGGACGCCAGTCATACCGGATCAGGGCCCATCCTGATGACCTCACTTTAACCAGATTTACATGAAAAAGGCGCCATCTCTGGATAAGGTCACATTCTGGGCCGTCAGGGGTTAGGACTCCAACATGCGACGGGGGTGGCCCACAACACCAGTTGTACGTGTAGCCGGCAGCGCCTGGACCCAGACTCAGGACTGTAAGGGATTCTGTGAAGCTGCCGCCCCTATAACTTGGGAAGGCCCAGAAGCAGGGGGGCAGGATAAAGACCGAGCAGCCATCCACGGCGTCCCCCGCGAAGGCCACGAGCCACCTGCCCGCCAGCACCTGGCCCTGGACGCCCACCCACGAGCGTTCGCTGAGACGTGTCGCAGGCAGGGCCGTGCACGCACGGGGCGCATCTGCAGGCGCTGGCCCGGCCCTCCCCGGCCCCTGAGCTGGTGGCCACGCCTCTGTCCTTCTCCCCAGAACTACGTCAGCTGCCATGACCCCGACAACGACGCCCCTCTGAGATGGCCAGATGTCCCGTATCAGATCTTGGGAGGCCCGACAGCAAACAAGGTTATTTTTGACCAAAGGAACGGGATCTACGTCTTCTTCCTTTCTATCGTGGATCCCTACTACAGGTGAGCAGGGGCGGGTCGCCCTGCGCCAGAGGCCTGGGGACGGGGGGATGGCTCCCCGAGGGCAGGTCACACACGTGAGGGACCCACCTTTCTCCCACCGCTTGGCGCGTCCCGGATAAACATCAATCTTCCCGGCAGCCCAGGCTGTCCCTGGGAAGGATGATACTTTTAAGTTCTGAAAGACATCTGTTCACTCGCTAAATAAGTCCTTACTCAGAGCCCACGCTGGGCCCTGGGGCAACAGCAATGACCAGCGGCCACGTCCCCGCCCTCGGGGACCAGAATCACCCCCGCAAACCACATCCCGCCGGTGGAGTGCAGGAGCTGACTCTTAAATATGCAGGGGTTTGGGAAGCTAACTGTCTGCACTGGTAGCCTGAGGTCAGCTACGGGGGGAGAATTCACACCATGGGAATCGGCGCTCCCTACAAATGGTTACCACCCCCGTGCGCGAGGACGTTTCTACGTGTGCTGGTCTGGATTATCAACGTCTCCCACCGGACGGGGCACGAGGGGACAATCCCCCGCATCATCTGTCCTCTCCAAATACAAAGTCCGCCCCTCTAAGCACGTGGAGACCCTGCCTTCCCTTGAGACCCCACACCCTGACCTAGGGGGGCCAACTCTGGGATGGCCATGGGCGGGAGGCTTGGGGTGGCACATCCGGAGGCGAGAGGGGACTCCCTTCGAGCCCGTCACCTCCTCTCTCCGCACCGCGCTGCCAGCTCAACCCTGCCGAGTTCTCCTATACGCTGGGTCCCCTCTCCTGGGATGCCCTTCCCTCCTGGCCTGCCACCCCCGCCTGCTGGGTGCCTGTGGCCCCATCGTGCCCGCCCTCCGCTTCCGGTCAGCAACGGGTTGGTCTGTTTGCCTCTCTAGGTTGAGCCTGGGCACGGAGTTGAGGGGACACCCTGTCCCCAGAGGAGGGGAGGACAGGGATGCTGGGAGGGAAAACGTGACTGTCGCCAAAGCACTCGGATAAAAGCTGAAGTGGACACACATGGAACTCGGTGTCCCAGCCCAGCACCCGGGGCCCAACCGTCCCGTCTTGGGTTTTAACACATTTACCGGGGTGAAGGGCAGTGCCCCATGGCCTCTCCCCAACCGCCCCTTTGCAGTTACTGTCACCTGGAGACCACCTTCAGCGTCTACGTCTACGGGGCCTTGCCCCCGTCCATCATCCCGACGACGGTCACCATCATCCCGCTCATAATGGCCATGCTGCTGTCCGTGTGGTCGGCCTACATGATCCCCAAACTGCTGCACACCGAGAAAGGCCTCAGGCTCAAGGAGTTCTGGATGAATCTGTGCGGGAGACTCAGAAACCTTTGCCCGTGTTTCCAAGGCAGGCGCTGAGCGCACAGCGGAGGAGCCCAGAGTTGTCTTAAAACAAAGCATTCTGGAAAAAAGCCAGCGGCAGCGCGTATCAGGCGTGGTTTGTTTTCCCGACACCCCACCGTCACTGTCTCTCTCCACGTCCTCACGTCAGAGTTCCTCTGCACGTGGCACCTACACGGGCTGGGACCGGAGGTGGGCAGGCCGGTGACATAAACCAGCACAGGCATCGGGGGGACAAGAGGCAAGTCTCCGAAAAGCAGGAGACGCGGCAACGTGTCCTGTAGAGGACAAGGCCCAAGGACAAGTGGGGGGGATGTCCGTAGGAGACCGCGACCTGCGGGATTGCATTTCCTGGGTACAAACCCTAACGTGTATACAAACACGTACACGTGTGTTTTGCTACGTGCACGAACACGTCGGGCAGATTTCGCATGTGTACGTGTGTATACCTGGGACTCGTGTGCGTACGTATGCACGTGTCCACGCATGTGCGTGCAATGCACGTATACACCCATAGCGTGTATTCACCCAGGTTACACACACACGGGCACAGACCTATACACGTGTATAGACACGCGTGCCTGTTCTACACATGCACGTAGGTAGCACGTACACGTGTGCACAGACGTGTGCACACGCGTATATACAACGTACACGGGTACGTGTAGTCTACCTACCCGTTCACCGGGGTTTCCCTCCCCACCCACCGCCTCATTCTGAACCCCAGGCGGCCCACGACAGCCATCCCGTCCTAAGTCCCAGGACTTTCCCGATTATTCTTAGGTTTATATTGTGGGCGTCCTCAGTTGTCCCAAACAGTCGCGATCCAGTGGTGGGGAACCTCCACGCGCACACCTACCCCGCCCTCCCTGGGCGGGCGTCTCTTGGCAGCGAACGTTTCTCCAGGGAAACCGAACCCCTCCTCTTACGTCACGTGCCAAGGGCCTTCCCTTCACCGAATGCCCTGGAGTTTCGTCTCAAAGATACCCCAGATGGGGCTGCGGGGAGAGGGGGCCTCAGAAGGAAGCCGGGCGAAGTGAGCTCCCGGCCTCTCTGTCCAGGCCCAGAACAGGGCCGGGCGGGGTGAGCGCAGACACGGCCACACAGCCCGCAGCACGGTTCCAGCAGCTGTCTCTCCCCCGAGCTTGGGAATGAGGGTTCAGGGAAGGGGGGCCCACCCCAGCCACCCCCAGGGCTACCCCGGCAGAGCCCAACAACGAAGGTCCCAGGGACCCAGCCCAGGCCCTGGGGCAGGAGGGTCCCTTCCTCCTCTGCAGGGGGAGAAGGCGGGGGGTGGGGGGAGGCCTCATCTCCCACCCCTCTCTGGGCAACCCGTTCACCACTCGGGCAACAGATCCTTACAGAAACGGACGGCATCTCCCCACCTTCCGCAAGCGCCCATCCTCCCTGCAGGCTGACTCCCAATTTTCCAGGGCTCGGAGAGGGCGGGTTTAGGATTCCCCGGGACTCTAAGCCTCCGCAGCTCAGCTCTGGAAGCCCAGCACCCAGGAGGCGCCGAGGGGCTGCTGGGCCTTCGCGTGCGAACCAGCGCCCCCGCGACAGGGCGGAGGAGGGGACAGCCCCCCACAGCCAGCCTCAGCCCACCGTCCCTGGGCCCCGATGCGACCGAGCCGACAGTGAGCCGAGAGGTCAAATCCATTTTAATGGGGGCCGGCTCCCAGGTCCTGCCTGGGCCCCGAGGGGGCGGCGCTGGCCGGGCCCGCAGCCTGCTTGCCCTTGCCTCCCCGCCTCCCCTTCCTGGCGGACGAGGTGCCGGCCTTCCTCCCGCCGGGCAGCTCAGGTCGCAAGGCAGGGGCCACGGTGTTGGCGGCGGGGGGCCCTGGGCGGGGCGCCGGCTCCTCATCAAGCGCCTTGAAGCTGAAGAGGCAGTCCACGTTGGACACGGTGTCCAGGATCTCGGGCACGCTGTAGTCAAAGGACAGCAGTTCGTCCGGCAGGTGCAACGAGCGGATGTCACTGGACGAGTCGTCTCCGCAGCCCCCGCTATCCGGCAGGGCCGGCCCGGGGGCCTTGCGTGGGGACCCCTCGTGCTCGGCGTTGCCCGGCAAGCAGTCGAAGAGTTTCATGGCGTCTTCCAGAAGCACCTTCTCAGGCAGCACGAAGGCCCTGGCTGCCTCGGGGGCCCTGGCCTCGCCCGCCCCCAGCGGGGCCGCCTCTGCCTCGGCCACCTTGGGCTCCCCGGGGCCCGGCGGGTACAGCAGGGCCGGCCCGGCCCCGCCGCCCTGCAGCTCATTGGAGGGGAAGGCCAGGGGCTCACCGGGCCCACGGAGCTGACTGAGGCTGCCCTGGAGGTGGCCGTAGGCGCCGGGGGGCAGCGCGGCCTCAGCGGGGAGCGTGATGAGCACGGGAGGCAGCTTGTTCTCCTTGGGGGCAGGTGGGGGCGGCCCTGGGCCTTCCTTGAGCAGGGGTGGGGGCAGCTCCATGAAGGCGGGGGGCCCCCCTTCCCCCACAAAGCCCAGAGCCTCCGGCCCCGGCCCCTCGGGGGGGAAGTAGGGCATGAGGTACTGGGGGCCCCCGGGCACGGGCAGGTAATGCGGGTAGGGCGGGGGTGGTGGGGCCGGCACTGGGGCTTTGAGGTAGTGCTGGGGCTCTAGGAGGTAGGTGCCTGGCGAGGCGGGGCCCCCCGCCGGACCCCCGGGGGGCCCCCGGCCGCCCACTGCCGTCAGCTCGTACAGGGACGACTGGCCGAAGTCGGTGGTGGCCCACTCGATTCGGTAGATGCGGGGGTCAAAGAAGCACCCGCAGGGCGCCATGTGGAAACCTGTAGGCCAGGGAGGGAGTTCTGAGAGGAGCTCTGGGAACCCCCATGGGGGAGGAGTACAGGGGGGACGGGGGAGAGGCACAGCCCAAACCTGCAGGGCCCATCTGGGGACGGGAAACACGGACCTGGCTTTGGGGCCCATTTGAGGGATGGGGACATAGCTCCTGCCTTTGGGGACCCATCTGGGAGTCAGGGGCCCTGGGCATCATTTGGGGGGGACCTGTCTGGGAGTGGGGGGCACAGGCTTTGCCCTTGAAGGCCTGAGGGACAAGAGACGCAGGCCTTACCTTCTGGGGGCCACCTAAGGTCAGGGGCATGGGCAAGACAGGCCTAGACGGCTCCACGTCCCCCCCCAACCCCCCCGAGTCCTCGTCAAGGGTCACGGGGAGGCTGGTACCTGCCGGAGGGGCTGGAAACACCTCTTTCTCCGGGTTTAGGGGCTGATACAGGTTGGAGGAACCTGGGGACAAAAGCAGGCAGGTGGGTGGGGGCCCGAGCCCCAGTCCCCCACCCCATCGGGCACCCCCACGCCCGCCCCACATCTAGCGCCCTCCGACTCGTACCCACAGTAGGAAGAGGCTCCGTGCAGGTGGGGAGAGGCTGACTGCCTGGCCCCTCAGTGCCATCTGGGCCCTGGGGGCTGAAGCCTTCTTGGGGAGCTGTGGGCGCATAGAAGGGTTTGGGGTGCTGCATGGGGAGGCAGGGGTCCCGGCCCGGGCAGGCCAGGAGGGCAGCGGGTGGGAGCACTGGCGGTGCACCCGGAGAACAGGTTCAGAGTCCTACAGAGTTCTGTTTGCCTGGTTACTCTGGGCGGCGGGTTCCAGGCTGCGGCCCGCCCACTGGTCGGGATTCCGGCGTCAGGGGTTGTGGGGGGGACGGCCAGAGACAGGCCTCACAGACGGCAGGGCAGACCCCGGACTCCCATGTGCTGCCTCCGGCAATGCTCTGGACTGCTCCAGAGCGCCTTCCTCCAGGCAGCCCGCCCGGACCCAAACCCACGCAGGCCGAGGCCCCCGCCTCGTGAGCCCTTGTGGCTTCCTTGCGGTTTGAGCCTCTCTGGGCGGCAGCGGTGGGCGGCGCAGGGCTGGGCCCATGGGGACGGCCGGGGACTCTCGCGGATGAGAAAGAAAAGGGAACCGAGGGGGACAGGGACGGCCCGGTGTCGAGACAAAGCTGACCGGAGCGGGACGGGGAAGCCTTGGGGTGACAGAAAGGCCTGGGTTTTAAAAGAATAAAATTTATTGTCTGCTCACGCAGCAGGAGACCCCGCTGGGCCCTCAGACGCCCCTTCCCACCCCCACGACTACTTGTACGCGTTGGCCTTGTGCTTTGGCAGAAAGACGAAGTTGGGTGGCACGGGTCCCAGCAGCATCTCACTGTGAAGAGGGCAGAGGGCAGAGGGCAGGGTCAGGCCTGGGGCCCCCTGACCCCCCCCCAGCCGTCCACACCGCGGCACCACGGTTTCCTGGCACCTGATTCGGATCCAGTCGGCCGCCTTCTGGCTGGCCATGAGCGTCTCCAGGTAGTCGCGGCCCAGGTAGTAGGGTGGCCGCTCGTTGATCCTCTGCGGGAGCCGCTCCAGCAGGCCCACGGGCACGTACCTGCAGGTGGCGGGCGCGGGGTCAGGCCAAGCCGTCCACCCACGGCCCCCCAAGCCGCACAGCGCGGGCGCCCACCTGCACAGGAAGGAAAGCCACTCGAGGAGGAATCGCCGGGTCTTCTCCACGCCCTGCGTGTCTGAGCCCCAGTGCTCCAGGCCGTAGCGCGTGAAGTCCTGCAGGATGGCCAGGCGCTCGGACGACGAGATGTCCCAGTGCCGCTGCTCCTTGATCTCCGTGAACAGCCACGGCTTCAGCAGGGCACCGCTGTGGGCGGGCGGGCAGGGCAGGGGGCCGTCAGGACGGAGCCCTGGTCCCTGCCTCGCGGCTAAGCTCACCCGACCACCAAAGCCCAAGAGTGCCAGCCCCCACGGGCGCGAATGTCCGGTCCCCTCCCGACTGCCGCCAGCAGCCGGGACCCCATCTCTCCGCCCCGTGTCCTGGCAGAGCCACCTGCTGGGCACGGAGAGCGGGGGAAGCGAGGCAGCGGGGCTGGGGGCAGTGGCTGCTGTAACAAAGCTCGGGTGCGCCGGCGCCTTCCCCACGCTCTGCGATACTTCCACGCAAGGAGCACACTCACCGGGCGATCATGATCCCGGCGACGCCAGTCTGCATGGCACGGTTGGCATCCTCATACGACAGGATGTCCCCGTTTCCTGAGGGACAGAGGCTGGGGTCTCAGGGAGCCGCGTGTCGATGGGAGCTCTGGGGGAGAGCTCCTGCCAGCCCAGCGACACCCACAAGGGCAGGGAAGGGTCCCGGCGGTGGGGGGTGGGGGGGTCCAGGCATGCGGCCCGAGAGACAGCAGGGCTGGCGGGAGGGCTGAGCCAGGTGGCGGGGGACCCACCGAACAGGGGCATGGGGCTGGCCGCTGTCACACACTGCTCGATGTACTGCCAGTCGGCCAGCTTGGTGTAGCGCTGCTCCCGAGATCGGCCGTGGAGCTGAAAAGGAAGCCACGCGCGGGGAGGGAGGACCCAGGAGGCGGAGAATCAGACACAGAGAAAGAGACCCAGAGAGATCAAGAGGGACGGGCTGAGAGGGAGAGACAGAGAGGCAAAGAGACAGACGGAGACAGAGATGAAGGGAGAGCCAGAGAGCAAGAGGGAGAGACGGGCAGAGAGGGACCATTAGGAAGGGCGGCCGAGCGCTCCCGCGGCCCCGACACCCTCTGTGCCCCGAGACCCACCGTGACCAGGGCCGCGCCCCAGTCCCGCAGCTCGGGCAGCAGCCGGTGCGCCAGGTTCACGCGCTCCTGGACGCCCGTGCGGATCTTCACCGTCAGGGGCACGTCCAGCACCTGCGGCGATGGCTACAGTCAGCGGGGCCCGGGGTTGGGCTGGGCTGGGCTGGGCTGGGGACAAGGCAGGGACGTCGAGGCGCGTACCTGGTTCATGCCGCGGACGATCTGCTGGAACTTGGCCGAGCGGTTCATGAGGGCACAGCCCCCGCCCTGGGAAAAACGGGCGGCTGGAGCAAGGGAGGCCGGGACGCAGGCCGGGCCTGACGCCCTTCTCAGCCTCTGCTGCCCAGACGGGCAAACCGAGGCACAGAGATGCCCGCGGGTCTCCAGGGACTCGGCAGGGGGCAAGGCCAGATCCCAGGCTTCTGCCCCACCCACACCGTGGGGGTCCAGGGCCGAGCGGCCGTTACCTTCTTGTACACGAGGTCAATGGGGCACCCGACGTTGATATCCACGAAATCCACCTCGATGGTGCGGTTGAGCAGCTCGGCGCACTTGGTCATGGTGTCAGGGAAGGCGCCCTCGAGCTGTGGCAGGTGGTGAAGAGCTGGTCCAGACCGCCCCCGCCCACCACGGGGATCCGGACAGCGGCCCTGTCTTCCCGCAGTGGCCCCGGGCCAAGGCCCTCAGCCCTTGAAGGGGCATCGGGTCAGCACTCCGGCCCACGGCTGAGACAAGAGGGGTCCGGGAGTGACTGAGTCGGAGATCCGGCCCCGAACCCTGCTCGAAAACCAGGCAGCCAAGAGCCCCTCGGCCCTTCCCGCCTCCCTCCGTCGGGCAACACCCACCTGGACGCCAAAGACATCCTCGCATTGGTGGCGTCTGAGCAGAGCCCACTCGGACGTCTGGCCCTGCAGCAGGTTGGTGCACACGGCCATCTCCCCACACGTCACGTCGGCCCCGAAGCGCTTACAGATCCGCCGGAAGGGCAGGTTCCCGCACTGGGGGGCGGCGGGGGAGACGCACACACGTGAGGACGCGGCAGGTGGGGACCCCGGACGCCCGCCCCAGCCCCAGGACCCACCAGGCAGGGGAGGTCACTCGGCACCGTCGGGCTGACCTACCGTGGTGAGGGGGGCCAGGTACAGTTTGCCGTGGATGTCCAGCTGCAGGGCAGTAAACACAGGGAAGCTCGCCCCTCCGGCCGGGCTTGCGAGGGCTCCCGAGCCTCCCCTCTCCCCGGCCTAGCACCTGCCCTGCCCCGCCCGGCAGCGCCCCCCTCCGCGCCTCAGCACACGTCAACGCATCCCTCCACGAGGACCGCTCCGTTCTCCGCGCGCTCCTCTGCTGCAGAGCTCCGACCCGACTGCCAAAACCCCACCCCGATGCCCCTTCCTGCAGGAAGCCTTCCCCTCTGCCTCCCTCCGTCCCAGCCCTGACTCTCTGTCCAGCTCTCTCTGCCCCCGCCGCTACCGGTGCCCCGAACAAGAAGCCCGAAACACGTACCTTTCTCTTCTCACAAGGCCGCAGCCTGACTACGTCCTCATCCGTCAGGGGCCCACGGGTCCACACCGAGCCGCTGGGAAGGGCACCGGCGTCCGGCCCCGGGAGGGCCTGCTGGGTGTCACCACTGTCCTGCCCGGGGGCGCTTTCGGCCCCCGTGACCTCGGGGGCTGCGGCAGCGGGGGAGGGGCCTGGCACCCGGTCCCTGCTCAGCTGGCGTAGGGCCTGCTCGGCGCGTTCAAAGCGGACCTTACGCTTTCGCAGCAGCTGCTGCAGGGCCTTGTCCAGGCCGTTGCGCACGGGCGGGGCCTGGACCCACTCCTCCCGCACTAGGTTCTGGCCGTCGGGTCCCAGATGCGCCCCGGCGAAGCGGCAGGTGACACCATAGGGACACCTGCCAAAGGTCTCAAACAGCACACAGCGGGGGCCCAGGTCCGACGGCTTGGTTTCCAGGTAGCGGCCCACGTCATGCAGGAAACGGCAGCGGTCACCAAAGAAACACTTTGCGGCTGATTCCTGCGTGGAAACGAAAAGGCCACGAGGGAGGACGGGAAGGGGCTGAGACAGCCAGGCAGCCTGGCTGAGAAACCTCAAATCCCTCCCCTCCTGGTTGTGTGTCCTTGGGTGCACGGGTGACATCATCGAGCCTGTCAGTCCAGCTGAAAGATGGGAATAATGATGACACTTATGTCATAACTTCCTGAGGATCAAACTGGGGGCGTGGCGGCTCAGACCGCAGGTCTCTGGGACTTGCAAGCGACAATTACTCACCTGGACCAGGGAGGGGCAGAGCCTATTATTGTCATAGTGGGTGGGTTTCACGTGGGGCCGCCCTTTGTTCCGGCCCCGGGCTCTCTTCTGAACCTGCGGCTGCTCCCCAGGTTCAGCTGCCTCCCCCGTCTGCCCATCTTCCAGGCGGATCCGCTTGGCCTCAGGTTCAACCAGGTCATTGCCACCAGGGTCTCCTGCCCCGGTTTCCTGGCTGGGCTTCTCCTGCCCTCTGGCTTCCAGAAACTCGTGGAACTGCTCCTTGGTGGTGAGGTATCTGCCAGTGGAGAGGCGGTGGGAGAAAGGGCTTGTGGAGGGAGTCCTTTCTGGAGCTCAGTCGCAATGCACGCTGGGGAAAGGGGCTGAGAACGCCTGTCCCTGCTTAAGTGCTTCTGCTGATGGGAAGCGCACTACTTAGAACCCGCCGACTACTGGCCCGGATGCACCTCGAGGCCACAGGCAGGACCTATTTTGTGCCTGGGTCCCACTGCCCACAGCGCTGAGCCAAACTACAAACAGACCTGAACGTCCCTGGCCACGCTCGGCCAGAGAAAACTACATGTCCCTGCATGCCTTGCAACGGGGCCACAGCCGCCACATTCCCCAGCGTGCCCCACGGCCCTCGCTTCAGACACAAGCCCGAGGTTGGCCGGAGGTGCCCCAGTGCCATTCCCGCCGTACGCGGAGACTACAGTCCCCAGCACGCACTGCGGCCCCGGCCGCAAACCCTGCCCGCCCCGGCAGGCACCGTGGGGTCCTCAGCACACGTGACAGCCCCCAACGCGCGCGGTGTCCGGCGGCGCCGCGGTCCCCGCGGGCGGTGGGACGGCCCAGACCGAAGAGCCTGCGAGCTTCCCGCGTGGGCTGCTGCCCCCGTCGCCCAGCACGCCCAGCACGCCTTGCAGCTGCCGGGAAGGCCTCGTGAGGTTCTCCCCCGGCCCCGGCGACTCACTGAGGTTTAATGGGCGCCACCCCCCGTTCCGGCGCGCTGGTTCCCGAGTCGCCGCCGCCACCACTCTCTGCTGGGGCCTCCGCCGCTCCCTC